GTGGAAGTTACAGTGAGTCAAGATCGCACCACTGCACTCTACCCTGGGTGACAGAGCGAGACTCTGTCTCAAATAAACAAATAAATAAACTCTATGAGTCGGTTGCCCTGTTGGTAAAGGCAGACTCAGGCCCCCTCCTGGCCCAAGCCCGCCTTGACAATGCTGAGATGCCATCAGCTCCCCCTGCGCTCCCAAATTCCGAACCACCCTCTTTTTGGTTTCATAGAGTCTCCCATATTCTCTCCTGGGGTCTTCTCTGCTCACCCCGCGGTGTCCCCAAGACGCCCTCATGGCAAACTCCAGGGGACCCAGAGCCTGAGCTGGGGGCTGGGCACGTGCGGCTAACCTTGATGGTGTCGTAGGCACCGGTGATGAGCGCGATGAAGAGGCTGAGCACCATGTAGATGAAGAGGCTGATGAAGGAGTACAGGTAGAGCTGGGAGAAGAGCCACACCAGGCTGCTGCGGCCCTGCTGAGCCTGCATGGCGGCGAACGTCACGAACATGTCGTCCCCGTTGATGAGTGAGAACAGGCACTCGGACACCATGGAGAGCGAGCGGAACTGTCAGAAGGGCGGCGGGGTCAGAGGGAGCCAAGGCATGGCCAGAAGCCGGGGGCTGGGGTCAGGCTGGGGTCCCATGTGAATGGCCGAGTCCTAGGCTGGGGTCACCTTGTGAGTGGCTGGGTCCCAGGCTGGGGTCACCATGTGAATGGCCACGTCCCAGACTGGGGTCACTATGTGAATGGCCACGTCCCAGGCCAGGGTCCCATGTGAATAGCCAGGTCCCAAGCTGGGGTCACCATGTGAATGGCCAGGTCCCAAGGTCAATGACAGGGACACAGGGCCAACCTAGGGTCTGGATAGATACAGCAGAAGGGGAGTAATCCAGGTCGAACTAGGGTCATCAGCAACTGTGACACAGGGTCAGTGTCAGGGTCACCAAGGACCACAGGGGACATGGACAGACTCCCAGCAGTCACCGAGGGGTCATCTGGGGGTCGCAGTGGCAATGACAAGGTCACGGGGTCGATGTCAGGGACATCAGGGGTTAGACGTACCTTCACATGATAGGGTCCCAGCACGATCCAGCCACAGAAGCAGTAGCCCAGGTAGATGACGGCGACGCAGCAGCAGAAGCGCATGACGCTGGGCAAGGCCACCCGCAGTGTGGCGATGAGGATCTGGGTTGGGGCAGAGGGAGCCTTGTTGAGGGTGTGGTCACAACTCAGGTCAGCTGTGGGCACCCAGATGGGGGTGAGAGGGACAGGGCCTTGCCGAGGGCACAGCAGGTGTGGCCATGGGAGCCAGTGGGTGCCTAGAGGGGTCGTGGCCGTGTCTGAGGGGGTCTGAGGGCACCGCATGACTGGACTCAGCAGGGTGGGCACACAGGAGCAGGCTCCCGGGGCCCCGCCCAGGTACAGCGACAGATATATCTGGTGTAGGCAGGTATGAGGCGGCGGCTTGCAAGCGGTCATTGGTCGGGGCTGGTGAGTGCTGGCTGTGTAGGGATTTATTTGGAGGGTGTGGGGTAACCATGCGGAAGGCCCAGCCACGTGCGAAAAGCTCACGTTGTAGTTATGGAAGAAGGTCAGGTAGCGGATCACGCCCACCCACACCAGCAGCGTCGAGGTGCCCAGGAGGATGCTGCAGACGTCGTAGCTCGCCAAGTTCTGCGGGTGGGAGCTGCATCAACCTACCTGGCCCAGCCCTTCCTTTGGAGGGCCTGGGGGAGGATATAGCCCTGGATAGGCACTGACAGCAGGGATGGGACCTGGGGCCCAGGGTGTGGGCAGGACGTACCTTGGCCTCGATGCCAATCTTCATGATGGTGCCCGAGATGGTGAGCACATCGCTGGTGACCAGCAGGATGTACCAGCCATTGACAAATTCCAGCCGCTCCCACAGGCTGATGACCCGTCTCCGCTGCCGCCACATGAACCCCACAAACTCCTGCAGAAGGCAGGTGGGGTGAGCGCCTGACCAGGCACAGGACCCTAGAAGCCCTGGCTTTTATCGCCCCAGGGCAAGGTGGGGAGGACACCGGCACACGTGACGCAGGAGCCTCACGTTCTGCAGCAGGAAGCCTCGAAGGAGCGAGCGGGCGCAGAGGAGGAAGGACAGGGAGCAAGTGAGGATGACCACCACGTCGAACAGGAGCCGGAAGCTGTTGTCTCCTGTGGGGAGGGCACAGTGGGTAGGGCCAAGGGTAGCATGGAGCCTTGGGAGGCCAGCGCTGGTGCCAGGCCAGGCTGGAGACCTAGGGGGCTGCACGGCTGGTTTTGGTTGGTCAGTGGGGCTCAGGGCTTGCTTGGGGTGAGTCAAGAACCCCGGTCAGCGCTGGTCTGGGGCTTGGAGGATCCCAGAACAGGACAGGGTCCCTGATCTGTGCTGATCTGAGGCTCAGCGGATTCCTAGGGAGGTCAGGGCCCCAGGCAGCGCTGCTCTGGGGCTTGGGGAATCCCAGGACAGGCCAGGGCCCCTGGTCAGCGCTGGTCTGGGGCTCAGGGGCTCACCGTGCCGGAAGACACTGGGGTGCTTACACTCCTGGATGTGGGCCTGGGTCTCCAGGCTGATGGGGATCCGCCCACTGTGTGCTTTGTTGTCAAACGTGATCTGTGGGGGCCAGTTGGGGGCAGAGTAAACCTTGGCAGCCCCAAGCCCCAAGGTCCACATGACAGGTGGCTTGACAGACCCCGGGCTCCCTCCCTCATCACCCACACGCTTGCCCTTGGCCAATGCTTCCAAGACACTCCCTGACCAGGTCCCTGCCCTGGAACTCAGGAGCCCTGTGGGTCCCTGGGGGGCCTCACCAGGACGCTGAAGGTATAGCAGTCCGGGATCTCATTATTGATGAGGCTCTGGAGGTTAATGGTCTTCAGTCGGAAGTGGATGGTGACATTGACCAGCCTAGGCAGGAGGCTCGGGTGAGGGGCAGGGGTGTCTTCGGGTCCTTTCCGGCCCCAAGTGCCAGCGCCCCTGCCACGTGCTGACTCTGCAGCTGGTAGGGGAAGTGCTCACCCAGCAGGTGCCAGCGCAGGCGGGGGGCCCTGTCCCACCTTAGGGAAGTAGCTACTGGGGTGAGAGTGCCTAGTGTGCTGCCTCCCCCACCCTGGGCCCCCCTCGAGCGAGCAGGCAGTACTTGTGGAATTTGAGCGTGAGGTTCTTGTAACTGGAGCTGCCTTCCAAGAGGGCGAGATCGTCACTGGGGGACGGAGGGGGCCGCTCGGGGGGATCCACCTGGATGCAGTCTGAGGACAGGGAGTCAGGGAAGGGCCTCAGGGGGCAGGGGAGGCCAGGCTGGTCTCCCCGGAGTCCCCAGTGGCCTTCTTTCCTGTGCTTCCCCAGGGCTGGGTCATTCCCACAGGCCTGACACTCTCTGGGACCGCGGCTATTTACTGAAGGAACCATATTAAGAAATAACACCTGGTGCTTTCTACGTGGCAAGAGTCACATTCACACTAAGCATACTTTTTTTTTCTCTTTTTTTTTTTTTTTTTTTTGAGACAGGGTCTCACTCTGTCACCCAGCGTGGAGTGCAGTGGCATGATCATAGCTTACTGCAGCCTCAATCTCCCGGACTCGTGATCCTCCTGCCTCAGCCTCCTGAGTAGCTGGGACCACAGGGGCACGCCACCACGCCCGGCTAATTTTTTTTGTACGTAGAGACAAGGCTTTCCTACGTTGCCCAGGCTGGTCTCAAACTCCGGGCCTCAAGCAGTCCTCCCTCCTCAGCCTCCCAAAGTGCTGGTATAGGCGTGAGCCACCGTGCCCAGCCACAGCTGTTGATTTTAATCCCAGCAGCTCAGGCCCCAAACAGTGAAGCCCCACCCTGCCCACTCACCAGTAACCACCATTGGATCAATGTCAAATGTGTCATTGGCCGGGTCCACATGGCCTCGGTGGTAGTACCGCTGGCAGAGAGCAAGCCCTGAGCCATTGGTCCAAGGGTCACCCCCGCCATGGACATACGCATACCGGCCCAGTGACACGTCAGGCAACGCCAGGTACTGTGGGCAGAGAAGGGGAGGGCCTGTGAGTCCGGCCCACTCTCTGCAGCCTGCGCACCTGCACCTGCCCGCCCACCTGCACCTGCCCGCCCACCAGCACCTGGTCCACAGCATGGAAGATGGCCTGGTACAGCTGCTCCCGCGTGTAGGCTGCGAACGTGTCATCCGCCCCGTCCGAGTAGCCCAGCAGGAAGAGGTGTCGGAAGGCAATGGTGTTCTCTTCCCGGAATGTCACAGCCAGCTGATTACTGAGCCCAAACAGGATGAGCTGGGGAGAGGGTAGCGGAGGTTGGCATGGCTAGGATGGGGATTGGGGGATATCTCCCTTGGGGCATAGGCACAGGAAGAGGACAGGGAGGGCCCTAGAGATGTCCACTGGTGGGGGCAGGGCCCTGCTAACTTGGGCCACAGACACAGATTTCACTTGTGCATTTCTTTGCTTTAATTTCACCCCAACTCCTGGCATAAGCTCCATGTCACGCCGACCACTGTGTCCTCCCCCATACATCACAGGATGGGCACTCATATATCTCACTGCAGGGACTAATGTCCATTAAATGTTTACTGGATGTCGGATTCTGTGTTAAACCCAAACTTTCAGGGTAAGTACCATGACTGGATTCCTTTTCTTTTCTTTCTTCCTTTTTTTTTTTTTTTTGAGACGGAGTCTCGCTCTCTCGCCCAGGCTGGAGTGCAGTGGCACGATTTCGGCTTACTGCAAGCTCCGCCTCCCGGGTTCTCACCATTCTCCTGCCTCAGCCTCCCGAGTAGCTGGGACTGCAGGCACCTGCCACCACACCCAGCTTATCTTCTGTATTTTCAGTAGAGGCGGGGTTTCACCGTGTTAGCCAGGATGGTCTCGATCTCCTGACCTCATGATCCGCCCGCCTCAGCCT